GGGAGAGATATTATCTGTTGCTATATACAACATACCTATAACGCTTTTAAATGTAGTCTGTGGTTGCATATCTGTTATCGGTGAAGTCGCTGCGATATGACGCAGCAATATTTTTGGAGCCACCACTATTAACGGTTTTCGAAAGTTTCTTATCATCTAACAGAGATGCAGACAACTTATAATATTAAAAATATAATCAAAAATCTATTACAACAGAAAGAATCTTACTTGTCTTCTCAATAGATGAAAGTACTGAGCCGGTGTCGTGGGGTTCGTTACGCACATATTAACATCATCACCATCTGGTTTATCTTCATTGCTGTCTGTAAGCTGTAAAAACCTCTCAAGTCTACAGGAGCTATGCTCAGGACCAGCGCCGTCATAGCCATGTGGCAAAAGTATCGTTAATCCACTGTTTAACATCCATTTTGCTTCACCGCTGGTTACAAAAGTGTCAATCACGATCTGTGCCCCATTAAAGAAATCTCCAAATTGTGCCTCCCATATTGTCAAAGTAGTTGGTACAGCTATACTCATCCCATATTCGTAGCCCAGAACCGCTTCTTCTGATAAGATACTGTTAGCCAACTCTAATTTTCCTGTTTGTCCATCGACCATCGAATTCAATGGAATATGCATCTCTAGGATCATGATTAATGATAAAGTCTTATTTAATGATAACACAGTAATTTGCAATTAGAATTATTCTGTAAATACCTTCAGTAGATTGATCAATAAGCATGGCGTGTCTATGGGAAAACGTTCCACGACCAATGTCTTGTCCGCTTAATCTTACATTATATCCTTGATATAATAAAGTTCCAATTGCCAAGGCTTCGGCAGTGGCCCAGTCTAAGTGTTCGCCATTCGCTATTTTGTTTAGTCGAGATTGGACGTGACTTTTCATTAATTTAGGATGAATTATCTGTCGCATGAGAAAATAGTACATTGAATTAGTTAGGGAAAATGAGCAACATTTCTCGCATGACATACGTTCTCACCGAGTCATCATCAATGTGAACGCTCTTTTTGGCAATGAACCTCAATAGGCTTAAATCAACTCCCGTGTCCCACTGTGTCACTCTCGCATCAGCTTGCTGCATTCCGCTCCATAAGCCTGCAAAGTATGAAGGCTCTGGAATGTAATTATCTGCTTCGTTTAAACCTTGGTTCAGCTTGGCTTTATGATCTTCGATGATATCTTTGGCTTTCTCCATTGAAAGAATGTTATTCTTTATCAGTTTGTCCAAATATCGATCTGGCACCGATCTAGTTAGAAATAAAATAATTAGTTTTAAAGAAAGATGTCCTACTGTTACAATTGGAAAACACTCACGGGCGGCTGTGTATAATCTTGTAAATGGCAGGATTTGTAAAAACAGGATCATCTAGTTCATTGTGGCCCCATCTTCTGAAGCAATTCAAATCCAGGAAAACGTCCTTCCTAAATTTTCGTTGATACTTGAACGCTATCCTAGCAGCTCGTACAGCCATCTAGAATGTTTCGAAATTTATTAGAAAATTTGATTTTAATTAAAGAGAAATTATCTTATGCACCTCAGGATCATCCCCGTTTACGTGAATCACCGGAGCAGATATCATTTTGGCTAGATCCGTACAATATCTCGACGATCTGCCTCTGGAAGCCGGAGTCGTGAAGCCCAATTGATTATTGATCACCAAGTGAACTGTTCCACCAATCTCAAAGTGAGGAACTGTAGATAACGCTAAACACTCTTGATCAACTCCTTGAGCAGCGTAAGCTGCATCCCCATGAATCTAGGATAGAAATTAGAAGAAGTTCAACACATAAATTTATATAAAAATGCCAATTTTAAATCTTAAGCTTCAAATTCTACTACTTGAATATTCAACACTTTATCACTCCATCGAGCGTTTACATCCTCGCTATATGCTCCGTCTTTAAATGCTTGCATCATTCCTCGAGTTTTCCCCATCGAAACAGGATTCACAGCTTCCAGATGCGAAGGGTTTCTCAATACCGTAACATGGAGGTCCTTCCGATTGATGTTAAGATTTGTAGAAGATACAAAATGACTGATCACGTCACCAGTTGCGTTCACATCATCCGGGAATTCAGAATATCCTCGTAACTGTCGAAATAATTTTCCCGGAGGGAAATTCAGTATTCCCGTGAGGAAATTTAGACGACCTCGATGAGCCATGCCAATCACGATGTATTTTAAATCATCTGCAATTTAATTTAATTTAATTTTTTCAGTAAATTTAAATTTTAAATCTTAGGATAGATGATTCGTGTAACAGTTTTCAAATGTTACAGTTTCATTCACCATTGGTGCATAGTTTAAAAAATTCACGATAGAAGGCCATCACGCTCTCAGCACCCTCGCCGCTGTATCTCTTAAAGTTGACGAACTTGATGGCCAGGAACTGATCGAAAGTTTGACTCTTCAACATCTCCGTAGCGATGGCTACTCGCGTTTCGTCCGTCACAGAATCCATTGTAATTCTTTCCACAGTTTCTGCGAACCATTCTCTCTCTTCCTCAGTCTGTGTAGACAGTAATAGAAATCAGGTACTTATTCAGATCTTCTACAAAGAAACAAGCTAATAAATATTTGACTCGCTTCAATAGAAGATAGCTTGAAATTGCTTATCAATGAATTGTTACCTCTAAATAACTAAATTCTACTGCTATAGGTCCAGTGTACGTCTCGTTCAAAAATTTCAAGGCCTCCTCTACAGTTCCTTGATTTTTCTCCAATGGTAAGATCCCCCTAAATGAAACTTCATCGCTCAAATTTAAACCGAATCTCTCTGGTTCCAATTCTGCCAGTGGTTTTGGCTTTTTAGTTGATACAGGATTTACGTCAGCTTGTTTATGACCATATTCTCTATAAGCGCTGACTAATCTATAGAAATTGCTGTTCCTCGATCGTATATCCAAGTAATCTTTTGGTACTAACAAGACCAGAAAGAGAAACGATTAATTATTTATTTTTATTGTATATCTCAGTATTTTAAATTATTTTTATACTATCGTGAAATTTTATCGGCTCTTTCGTGCGTAATAAAAATATTCCAAGTTGCGTTTTTTTTGTTATCTTTTAGATTACCATGCTGTTTTCATACCAATTACAATTAAATTGAATTAATATAATTTTAAAATCACATCAAATAATACCAGCGTTGTAATAAATATCTTAACGTTGAAACAAGATTAGATTAAACGCATAATAAATTTATTTAAGAGTTCGCATATTCATATGAATTTGAATGAATAATATGCAAAAGGATTGATCTTCGAATATCTTTATTATTTAAAAATAGAATTAATATATGTTGAATTGTCATTGCGTGCGTGTTATTCTTTTAAAAAAGGAAATGGGGAAATTTTAATTTCAAATTTGTTGCGCATGCGCGGTACGCGCATAGCTAAGAGCCTCTTACGCAATTCTTCGGCAGTCGCTTTGGGGAAAGCGGGGAATCAAAGTGTTGCGCGTGTTCGAAGTTTTAATTTCGTGCCTCGTGGTTAAAAATACAGTGATTAGTGTAATTTAAAGTACCATTCTCATCCCGAGGACATGGATAACAAGATCTACAGATAACTTCGAGGTAAAAATGATTTGTTTCATAAAAATGTGCACGTTTTCGTCTCGATTTGAAGATACATTTACGAAACGCATTTAAATGCACTAGCGACGTCACGCGGGAAAAATTGTTAGTTTTCAAATTCAAATTATTCGCTTGGGCCTATATCATAAATAAATATCAATATCGTATCTCAAATTTTTCGTATCAAAATGTTAGTAGAATTTTGATCGTGTTTCCAATATTTTTTCGCCAATATCGTTCCAAAAAATATTATGTTCGAAATACCTTCAAAATGCCTTTGTGGCCTCGGTCTGTATCCATAGACGTCATTTTTACTGTGGTACAATCGCGTAGAGTGATCTGTACACCTCGAAACCGGACGGTTATCTATCCATTGAAAACGTGGATATTTAGTTTTACAAGATGACCGAAGAACCGCGTGCATTCTTGTTTTCGTTGCGAAATCTACAGCGTAACTGGCAGTTCTCTGTCACCCGAGTTAGTTTATTATTCCCCCAACCTCCCACTCTTTCGATCGCATGTCAACGTTATCTGTTTACTCGAGATTCTCGGTAACATTAGATAAATATTACGAACAGCCGATTTACACAAAACAATATTTATTTCCAGAGTAATAACAAAAATATCGTTCAATATAAACGGGCGTTGATGCAAATTTCGCTAACGAGAGGATGCGTCATTTTCGGTACAAAATTACATTTAAACTCAACTAGAGTGCGTTGATGTCACGTGCTCGTGTCATTCTTCATTGCTCTCGTTCAGTCACAAAATTATGTTCTATTTTTCAGAAAAAAAAAAAAAAAAAAAGAAATCCAAGCAAAAATATAATCTCGACGAACTTATACTTCTGGATAGGCGGTGCCTATCAGATCGTTTCCCCTATATCTAAATTTATGAGTGACGATGTTAAACTTGGTGCCTCCGAGAGACACCGGACAGTTTTCGTCTGGTCTCGCGTAGAAGCACACTGTGTACAGTGCCATCTCCAGTTCAGGCGAAGTACCCACGAACATAGTCGTCACTGGTTTATCATACCCGCTATACTTCGTTCGTACTTTAATAATAGACGCCTTCTGAAAGAACAAACACGTGCAAACGTGATTAGCTGGCCTCTTGCTTAGTATGAGTCATAGGTCCTCTCGGAATACTACGAAAGGAACAATAGACGTTGTGCAAATAATAAGCGCCGGAAGTGGAATGGAATCCATTATACATTCGTCAAACGTATTTTTTTTTAAATATCTGATTATTAACACTAAACGTACCAAGCGGGGTCGAATGACCCCTTTTCAAAATTTACATTGAAATCGTACATTCGTTGTTATTCCTTTCGCTAATCTGCCTTTTTGTAAATTTCTTATATTATCTGATTATTCAATTTCTCGTTTTCTGTTCTTCTCTTAGCTCCTTATATTATCTGATTATTTAATTTCTCGTTTTCTGTTTTTCTCTTAGCTTACCTTTTACCGAGAAAAACTCTTTGCATACCTTATGTACCGCGAGGGGTCATTTGACCCCTTATGGTAAGATAGGATGTGGAAGATGGGA